GTATATCGGAGATGATCTGCAGGGCGACGGCAAGGAGCACACGCACGAACTGACTCACCATATGATCGTTGAGGCCGTTCAATTTTGGATTATTGGTCGCTACACGATGCTGTTCAATCACCTTGGCTGTCTGCCTAAATGACAGTCCAACAGAAACATGTTGCATAGCAAGGTTGAACCGCAAAGAGTTCTTGATCGTAACCAAGTATGATCCGTCTGGCTGCAGTTTGAACAATTTCATGGCGTTGGCCTTGATGATTGGTTGGAACACATCGTCTTCTTCGTCTTCTTCCGGATGAACTAACAAATCTCCCACCACAACATCAACTATCGGAGACCGAGAAATTACAAACTGAAGAGTGTCCTTGTCTGTGTCTAGGTAACGGTGTATGCCTGATATATCTCTGGTTTTGAAGAAACTAACATTTTTTGATACAAAAGCAGTTGGTAACTGGTCCAATCTTCAAGATGCCGAGACTCCAAGTGATTTTTATAGGCTTCAAGACGAAACGGAAACTGAAACAGTTGCGTGTTCTTGGTTCTCTGTCGCTTCACACCTGCATCATCTCGTTTTTCACGACCAATATGGATGCAAAATAAACACTGAACTGTTGTGATGGTGCCCTGTACAGATCGTTGTACCGGTTGCAAACCAAACTCGACGCCATGTTTGACCTGAAACGGAGTTTTTTGACTCATGATGGATTGCAAAAGCTTCGCTGTGACGTCGGTGCTTGCGTTCGAGATAAGAGAACTTCGGGAATGCATTCCTAACCTAAGATACTCCTTCCCGCTATCCACTCCCCGCCTCCCCTTGGATGCGTGCGAGATTCTCTACATTCTGACTTCCTACACCTCCCGCCTTTTCCTTGTATTTTTTGTCGAAACTTCATACAAGTGTCGACTAAGTGGGCTTGATTAATTCTGGCATATTTTCCAGATTAATTCTGGCAAATCTGGCGTCTAAAAAAAAAACGCCAGATTTTAGGAACCTTGGACTAGCCACCGATTTTTCTACCCCTTTAACCTCGGTAACTAATTATAAAACCTTTCAACAAAACTGAATGTTCCCATGCACGGGTGCAGAAGTGTTCTTGAGCATCATGAATGCGAGCTCAAATCACAAAGTCAAATATTGTCTGTTCATGCTTGCATGACAATGCTAGTTATGTGCAATGCTTTTCGATGGATTGACTACTTCACAAATCTGAGAATGGAGAATCTTTGTTAAACCATTATATATTTTAAGTCAAGCAGACTGAGGATGCCTCTGGTCGTAGGATCAATAAAATTCTAAGCATGGAGAATGTTTCAGTACAGTACTGGTATGTCCGACGCCACTCATGCCCAAATAAATAGTATTGAAAGTACAATTATTCGTCCATCTTTTTGGTATCAGAATTCACGATTCTCAAAGCTGCAATGGCTTTCCATCTCAAATTATCTAATCCACTAAGACTTTGTACATCTAATTAAGGTCTCTTTGTAAATCTTCTAAAATTTTAAAACAATGCTTTCAAGTGTCAACGCTACATATACTCATTTCAACAAACTCTTTCCATAACCTTCTACCCTAGAAAAAGCAGGCTTAACTTCAAATGACAGTAAATGCATCCCTAAGAATTGCAGCCACGTTACATGAATTACCCTTACACACCTAGTGCATAGGGATGCCATTTTCTTTCACGACGCAGACACATAATGTATGACTCATACATTATGAGGCAAAAGTAGCAAGCATTGCAGTCAGAAGTCATTCGCATAGAAGACGCTAACTATAAGAGACGATGGCTTGCTCCCCAAAAACATCTTGTAAATTAGTGTGTCAATCATTGCGTTGACAGCGTGGGACATTGTGCCTGAATTTGAAAATTCGCCAATTGTCTGACTTATATTCTAATTGACCCTATCTAAAACCTGACAAAATGAATCGATGTTCTCCAAAAGTTGTTCATAATATGCAATAATTAATGTGTTTACCGTTTGTCAGATGGAATTGTATTATACCCATTTCAGACAATTCAATGCATCTCATACAGCTGGTTCCAGGCTTGGTTTATAAAAAACTAAATTTAGGTCAGAACTGTTACTCAAGCATCTTATATCATACATAAAGAATATGCATCATATATGATACACCCCACCCCGGCCCTTTATTTCAATCATTTAAAACTTTATCATGAGAAGTAACATTAATTACACTAAAAATTATTTTTATTCATGCTGAACTCGATAAGTATCACTAGTGTTATATTGAAAATTGGATCATTGAAAAAATTTGGAAATATTCAAGATTTGAGATAAAGTATATACTCAAATATATATATTTAATATTTATTTCAAATTCATCTTATAAATAAATCTCAGAAGAAAATAAAAGAAGGTTTCATTTTTGGTATCTAACTCACTCCATGTGAATGAATGACATAACAAATATAACTAACCCCAATTTCAAACTTGTTTCCTAAATATCAAATATATACAGATTGCTCACATGATAGTTATGAATATTAAAATGTAGGTCTATTATATTTTCATGTTAAATATTCTGTCCTTTATTCTAACGAACAAAATTTGATTAAAAGTCTTTTTTTTAATGCAACATCTTCACTACTTATATGACAATTCCTGAAATGTCATAGGTGTGTTGGCTAGATATCTATTTAATTTTTTGATTGATGAATAAAAAATATTAATTATATAAAATATTATACTTTGAAATCCTTATTTCCTCAAGTCTTTTTTCTGAGTATATTTTGTTGATGGAATCGTTCATAATCAGCTACAAGGTATGATTAAAAAGTTAATGCGAATCAATGTCTAAAATTCTTTGGACGTGATAAGTGTTTTCAAAATAATCACAAATTTACAAAAATTATCATTATATGTGATCACAGTTACGATTGTTTCAGCAAAAATTTACAGAAAATGTACCAAAAAATGTAAAATATTTCAAAAATTCATAAAAGAACAAATGAATAAAAAATAAAAGTTTGATTTTCAAGAAGAATTTCCGCTAGAGACAAATTTTTTTTATATAATCAAATTTTTTAGAATTATTTCCCCAAGTTAAAAATTTTCACATGTACATAAGATATGTGCAATAATATATTGACGTCTAGGTTTACTTTCTTTAGGATTTTATGTGAGTCATCTATTCTACTTTTTCAATTTAAACTTTTTACATTCTACCTCTACCTTTTCACTTAATGGAATTGTTTCACACAAAGAATATCTTGGAATTTCATTTGTATTGCAAAATGACATAAATATCTCCATGCACAATAACCAGTACAATCTCAACTTATTGTTTCATCTAATGTCAAACTTCAGAAGTTTTGAGTCTGAAAGTCTAAAATATTGATTAATCTTTATGTAAACTTCTATACACACTTCTATACTGTAAATTTTGATTCTAAATCTTTCTTGTCAACTCTATAATCTTCTTGAAACAATAAAATCTGCCTCAAAATTAACCTTCTCAATTGCAATCTAATGTAGCTCACATTGTTGTTTTGTTTGGTTGAAACGGATACGTCAAAAACCTCGTGAGTCTTCTACATTCGACACACATGGTGAAAAAAACCAGAATTCATGTGAATACAAAGAGACTACGTGATTTGCCAATAGGGGTTACTGGATCATAGAAAACCTTCCAGAAAAACATACAAGGATAATCAAGCAATTTGCCTACCTCTATTTTATAAAGAGGGCAAAACCTAAACACAAACTAGTGTTGAACTATCTGAGTTAGAACAGACTTGAATCAATACTAACATACTGGATATTCATCAACTGATTAGAACTTCATTTTCTTATTTTTGTTACAATATCTAACTATATAGGAATAAAAAAAATTTTAAGGTATAAAAGCATAAACAACTGTTGTTTAATTTTGCACATTCTTATATCAAAGAACAGAAAGCTGTCATAAGACAAACAACGTACGAAGATATCTTAATGGTCATTCATTAACATTGAAGAACAAACAACTTCAGTGTGCACCAAATGGGGATATCATGTGATTACCATACTAATCACCATCAAGAAGTTTGTTTTTTAGCTACTAATTTTTCTTTATATTATAAGTATTACTGCAAATAAGGTCCATAAAGTCAAGAATAATGAGCTTTAACAAATATTTGTACTTTCACAAACTTTAGATTACTGATTTGAGTGAGGTTGATGTTGTTTGAACTAGTAATCGAGTTTTTTATAAAAATTTGTGTAAATGTCAAAATATTGAGTTGAATGAAATTTTGTAAGCCTTCATAACTCTCAGTTGACAAAGACGCTTCTTCCGTCAATTGAACTTCTATATAGCTTTTTCCTCATCCTTATAGTGATATGATAAGTAAGTGGCTGATCTCTAGTAATGAATCAGTAAGTAAAACGTAGGGATCGTATATATTCAATTGAAATGATAGGGGAAGAGCGACAATCATTGCAAGTACGAAATGACATGAATCAGCGGAGTTGGTGATGCAACACTGTTCTGTGAAAACCATAGTTTCTCGTTATTTGCGTAAACTCTGTCCATTCACTAGACCTCTCTGATATATATTACATCAGAGTGCCAAGCACCATGAATAATCCATATCATACATTATGATTTGTAGTGAGCTGAAGTCAGGATGTTGAATGAACATTATGGAAACTAAAAAGAACAAACTATGAGTGAACTGAGAAAATGACAGTTTTGAATGCTCATTCCAAATAAAAAACCCAGTCACTATTGATTGCTGGTGCTGTACTGCAAACGCATTTCATACATTTTCAAGTCCCATCCTCGGGTGGTCTAATGGCTGCTGCACCTTTGCTCATAACATATGAGAATGAGGTCTGATTCGGCAGGATCAGTAACATGTTCGGTTTACTTCAACGTGAAACTACTCATGCGATATGAAGATATCATATAGTTTACAAAGAAGGCGAACACAGAACTAGCAGACGCATACAGGAATGCAGCTCATACTTCGCAAAATTAGTCGTCGTTATAATTTCTGTAAGAAGTAAGGAATCATTGCCCTGGTGAAGGGCTTTAATCCTATACATATGCTGACGTATGAATTTCAACAGAAGAGCTTATACATCTTAACAATTCGTTCTAAGTCCTAGGAAGGTCCGATAGTAGATGAAAAACACTAAATTCTTTATGATTGGTGTCCCCAATGAATCACTCGACCTGTTTCCAACCGTCATCTTCTGATTGTAGATTCTGCAATGGACAAATATACATGAAGGTCAATTCCGTTAACTAGACTGGAAGCATACAGTCAGCTACAGCATGAACACATCAACGATCATCGGGATAGATTGATCTACGAAATGTGTACAATGATATCAGAGACATGATGTGAAACAAGACATGAACACTGCACACAGCGGAGCTGTTCTTTGCGGATGAGAGGCGTCAGATACTCACATTGAAGAAGGTAGCCCTTGACCACGTTGTTGACGAGGACTGCGACTGTGCCAACCGCCGTCTGGACAATGTGAACCGTCCCATTGACGGGCACCAGCACGTTGACGGTGCACAAGACCCCGTCGATCACAGCGGAGATCTTCCAGGTCAGGCCGAGCAGGCTGGAGACGAGGCCCGTTATGGTGTACAGCACGGACTGGACGGTGTGCGCAACGACGGTGATGAGACCCAGCGACCCGAGCTGCAGACCAGGGATGAGCACGATGTCGACCTTGACGTCGAAATCGCAGTCATTGATGAGGCTGGAGGAGTATCCGGTGGCTGCGACGAAGGTGGCTGCAGCAAGCAGCGAGACAGCGATAGCGATGAAGTGAGCGGTCCTCATTTTGATCGAAGAGATGGAAGTGGTGGACAGGCACTGAGAGTGAACAGGAGGCTGCTGTAGTGCTGAGTACTTGAACTGGGTACCGAGAGAGTGTGGTTGTTGCAGAATAGGAGGTGGTTTATATAGGCCCTGGTGCTTGTTTTCGAGGTGAGGTCACTCTATGTCCTTTAAAATGCTTAAAGTAAATATATAGAAAATCACGAAGTTGTTACTCTTGTGGAGACAAGCTTCGCTGTGTGACCGCATTAGGATTGGGGCATATATGCACAAATCAAAGTTCAGCAGGAAATTACCACAGTTATCCACAAAACTTTCAGCATTCTTTCAAGATTATTCCAGATCAAAATATACTTATCTCGATTCCATAATCGCACGAACAACCTTAAAATCCAATCCATGTCAAACTATTTCTGGTTTGAGTGATTTCACTGTTTGAAGTGAGCCAGTTATGAGATTTATGAGCTACGCTGTAGAATTCTAGCTCTCATTTGGATGAGAACTTGACGAAATTGATATCCTGGTGGTTGACCTTATAAATCTCGAAGTAAAACACTTTCTTACGGCAAAGTAAGAAAGCAGCGTTTCATTTTCTGCGAAGGCAGTGGATAGACCAGTATCTTGAGAATAGCTTCCTGTGTCTCATAAAGTGAATGCAGGTTTTCGACTTGGTTCAACGTACCGGTGAAAATTTCGGCGACGATTACTTACATTCTGTGGATCAGTGGATTACGTCGATTTCCCAAGTCAGAGACAGTCCGTTGCATTCAAAATCTCAAGGTCCTAAATTCAGCTTAAGATATGGTTTGCAGTTGCTTGTCTGAATACTTTTGTCAAATTGATACTAAGCTGATTTGATGTAAATATTCAGCTTAATTGCATACAAATAGTAACAACAAGCAAAATTCAGCCAGATGAGATATGAGGTCTTGAAACGAGTACAAGTCAAAGCCTACGATGGGTCTGTACTCTGAACAGTATTCTGTCTATCTACAAGTTTCTAAGATAGTTCTGACTGGGGGGACAAATACAAGGGAATGCTGCGTGAGAATTAAGTGAGGAGAAAGTTATGAATGAGCGAAGGGAATTCACATTAAAATTTCACTCTTGAGGCTGGAACGGAAAGGCTACTTTCTATTCCTGGTGGACAACCAACTTGACTCTGCTTGCTTTACACACTTTTTCGATTGCATGATAAATGCTTTCAGTGCAGAGGAGATGTCTAACTTCCTGTCCGACGGTGTCTGTGCGTTTGTCCTAGTAGATAAGTCTTTACATTTTTGCGACAACATTTGAAGGTAAGACAGGCATGGTTTCTCTGTCCAACGATATCTAATTGTAAGTGCCATGCATGTTCGTGAAGTCAATGTGACCACAACCAGCGTATGTAGGGTTGTGAACGCTTGTCACAGTGCACTGGTCACTAGGATAAGTGAAGTGCTCATGCATGTATCAGCAGTATCAGATATACCGATGTTCAAGTTAAAGATAAGAAGAGATTATTCGTCATCGTTCCAACTGAGTATGCAGAATGTATATCCACGCTTAGACTTTAAGTCGCAGCTCTTCTCACCCGCTACTTTTTCTATTGAGAGATTAGTCTTTGATCGAGGTCAATCATTACCTTCAGTAGCCACCAAAACCTGGAGACTTGTGTCAGATCGGTGGCTAAGAACGCAACGCTGGTCAAATGAGATTAGACGTTTGGAACGTAACATATTTGACATTAGCTCGTCAACGGAGACAAACTGATGTGCCTTTACGTGCTGATTTCTGAACCAGACGGCGGCATGTCCTGACCGCACATGAACTCGTTCCTAGAGAGCTTTCATTGAATCGAAACAAAACGGCCCCTGGAAAGGACCCCCACTGTGAAAGTGTGCTCACGTGACCTCAGAAAGAAAGCAAGACACGTGGCCAGGCTCTTTTCGTCTATATCAGAGAATTAACTGAACTAATGTCAACGACCTCCTCATTCGACTGATCAGATCGGTTAACATCGGATTGACATCTGAAATGACTTCTGTGAATGTGAAAAGAGAGAGTCCTCTACATTGTCTTTTCCAAATCCAAATTTAATGGAAGATAGTTCTTCAACGTCATGGTGTTAAAATAGTGGCAGCTTGTGAACAGCTGTGGGTGATTTAAAGTTGATGGGCAGGTATATATGTGAAAACTGACCTTAGTTGCCTTTATTCAGAGAACAGTGACATGTAGCTGCAACACATAGGTTGACTCTTCACAGCAAAAAAAGTCCAATTATAATGACAACTGCAAACAGTCGATTGATTCTGAATTCCCGAGACTATATTACCTTCTTACGTATTTCAAGAAAGAATGAACCTTTCAGTTTCCAGTGCTCATCAATCATTCGGAACATTACATTCATTTATTCACGGCAGTTCCCGTGAGCACATGACATGGCCCCCCAGGATTGGAGCTCTGTGAATGGCATTGACGTATGCACCGCTCAAATGGGCAGGGACATCGTAGTCTCACTTTCGTGTCACAGGCCTTGGCCACGGAACATGAAGCCCGCCTTCGGAGATTCTTTTAGTTTTTCGTGGTCCAGTTTAGCGGGTCCCACGCTGCCATGGAATTTACACGAAGCTCACGTGGATGCCACTGTGGACATACTACGAGGTACTGGCGAATTTCCCGATGCATCATGCGATCTATGAGAATTTCGTAATGGATCCTCGGGATATGAGACTGCAATTTTGTCTTCAACCGGCTCTCACACTTACGAAGTGGGTAAATATGTTTGTGCAAGGTCCACTCTCGCCTTTCATTGATGGAACTATCGACGAATCAATGAACGCGGCTCAGTGCGAGACTTGCATTGTCCATTTCATGCGAGGAATGATAATCCATTTCCGCAAGATAAAATACTGTAGACCAGTGGGAAATTACTCCTATTGCTCTGATATACAAATTTACCGACCTTCCTCTGCCGACGAGTTCCGCACAGTGTCTATGTCTTTAAACAATAAGATTTCGAATCAGTTGTCATGTGAGGCCCAGTAGTTTAGCAAACTCAAGATCGATCTGGAGAGGCCGGGCGCGGGGTTCCATCCTCGTCGCCCGGAACCCCCTCGATAGACCACCGAGTTGTGGGTTCAAGTCCTGCCTGGGCCATCCTTTTGCTCTGAACGTATGAATTCTCAAAGTCTGGCTGGAATTGCGTCAACATCTTGTCCTCGACTGTTCAGCTATCTTCTGCATATTGCAATGTTTGGCCACGGACTGTATCTATGCGATTTGACTCCCCGTAGCATTCTTCGAAGGTTATCGTGACACGCACAATTGACTAAAAATCATCTGGTTGAATTTCGTAACCAGGAGGATGCATTTGTGCGAGATGATGATATTTATTCATTCATCAATGCCCCTCGCTCACAATACCTGACAGCATCGAGGGTTTATTCCACAGACTAGAAGTTCTACGAAAGAAGAGTGTTGAATCGACTTTTGCGTGACATAAATTGAAATTAGACGGGATAACTGGGCTGGTTTGTAACCTGCCTGAAGTGGAAGATGTGGTGTACTCTGCACTGTTGACTCGAATGTGTCCTTGATATTGTAGGGCGTGGATAGTCAAAATTGCAGGTGTAATAATTGCGATTACAGTCTACCACATTGCGGTTATCATACATGTCTAATGTACAAAAACCAAGAGCAAGACTGACCCATCACAGGTCTGATATGCATCAGCAAAACTTTCGCTAGCCACCAAATTTTATTTACCACCTTGAATGAAAGCACTTCATCAGAAGAGGTTTCAACGATGTTGTATGTTCCTCGATGCACAGGGTATAAGACTTTTAGTCTTCACAAGGCACCTTCGAGTCTTGTTTGATCCTGCTTGATGACCATGCGAGTTATGTACATATTATTTGCTGGACGATGAATCGTTGCTTGTTTGACTCCTCAGATATCAAAGAATGGAGAATCTTTTTTAGGATAGATAGATGCTCAGTCCAGCATAGTGAGCATGCCTCTGACCATTGAATTGCCAAACTTTTTGGTTTAGAGAACGTCTAAGAGCTGATATGCTCGACACCACTCAAGGCCAAATGAGCAGGATTGAGAGCAGAACTATTTGTCGAAATAGAATTATAATTGTAATGTCTGCTGTATTTGGCGATCAACATATTCATATCTTTAAGTTCCAGGGAATCGTATCATCACACGACCACACGACCATATTTTTTAAATTTCTGTCAACCATTGAGGCATATGCTACAAGCCTACATAGCAAGCAGTGCAGTAGAAAAGTGATTTTTATGGAAGATAAAAGACGTTAATATCAAGAACTCCTGCTTTCTCTGTGAAAGTCATGCCATATACACTCCTGTTGCAATCATTGGTTTGATGGCACGTGCTGGTAGATTTGCACATGAGAAGAGTATAGTCTGACTTATGATCCGGATAACACCATTTATTAATGGATAAAAGGAATGGAAAAGCTCAGATCTCTATGTCGTGCTTGATAAAGTTAATTCCACAAAATGCAAACTTATTGTGCCTCATTTAGTCAATTTTTGGGGTCAAGTCAGTAGATTCTTAAAATTACATTATATCAAACTGCCTATCACTTAGAGTGATCCAGATCAGAAATCGCGTTCTCTATCCAGCAAGAATCATGAAGCTTGAATGAGCCTATGAGAAGTCACTTCAACATGCTAAAAAGGAGAGAACTGCACCAATGACACCTGAGAATGCTTGTTCCAGATAACACACACTCATACCCTTTTACTTCCGATACTACATACATCTTGAATACATTTTCAAGTCAGATTGAAGATGTGTTTAACGGCTGCCATGCCTTTGGAACTCATTACATTTGGGAGGGAGGTCGAAATGGGGAGGTTCAGTGACAAAATCATTTTACATGATCGAGCAACTGCTCATGAGAAATGAGAAATGATATATGATATATGATGAAACCAACACTTAAGAAGGATGGCGAACACAGAAATAACCAGCGTAGACCGGGATACAGCTTATATGTCGAGGATTAAGTCGTCATTATTGCCTAGATTGGAAGAAGGAATCATTGCCCTGGTGAGGGCCGGTTCGAGATTATTTATCAGAGT